GGGGGGGGGGGGGGGGGGGGGGGGGGGGCAGACTGGCAGCGGAGGGGCCCTATGCCAGGGGAGTCGCCCGGGGACCGGGGGCCATGCGTGTCGGCCGGCCCTGTGTCCTTCCGACCTCTGGGCCAGCGGACCGCCCGGCCGGCCGGGCGATCGGCCAGTCCGGAGGGCTTGCCACATCGGGGCAGGGGCAGGGGGGGCGTGGAGCGCGTGTCGATCGGGAGCCTGACCCACCCGTGGACGAGTAGATCCGCCGGGAGGCGCGGTTCGGGCCGCGCGCACCTGCCAGGCACCAAACCCACGGACGTCGCGATCCCAACGCGATGGGCTGGCGTCCCTGGGCCGCCCACCCCCGGCTGCATGGGCAAGTACCGCCAAAGCAGGGCCGGCGCCGACCGGCGGTTATGGGTTATGGGGGGCCGGCGCCCCGGCATTCGGGCCCCGGACAAAGTGTTGGCAACGAGGAGGGATCACATGCGTTGGAATGGGCGAGAGACGCTTCAAGTCAATTAATATTCATGGCCGATTACATTAACTCCTACTATTCCATGTGAGATCGCGGAGCTGGCACTTGGGTCACCGAGAGGGGCCCCCACGGAGGTGCCCATGTAGCGGCGCCTGGGGACCCGTGCGGGGCCTTTTTTCTGGCGGCCGCGGACATCGTGGCTATGGATGTGTAGGTGGCATTCCTCCGGGCGAGGAATGGTCCTCGACATGGCCGGCCTGCCCCTCCTCGGCCTCGTGGGGGCCGTCGAGGGTCACAGGGCGGTTTCTGGCGTTGGGGACAGCTTCCACCGCGGCGGTGTCCCGGCGCTCCGGACTTGCGGACCCGCCGCTGTTGTGAAGCTCAGTGCCTATCCCCTCTGGGCCGGCCAGGTCGCTCGTCCTCCCAGAAGGGCAGCTGCCAATCACCCATTCGGGATTGGCTTGCCAGCCAACTGGGTGTGCAGCATCGCCGGTCGCCGGCGTAGGCGCCCCGCCGCCGGGCGCCCGGCTGCCCGCTCAGTCGGCCTGGGCAATGTGTGTGTGTATGTGTGGGGGGGGGCCACAGCGGGGCCTCTTGCGAGGGAGATCCGCCCGGTGAGAACCGGGCCCCACTCAGAGGAGTCAGCCCATATGGCGGCTTGTCGCCCGAAGGCCGACCAGGCTGTTTACGGTGATGGGCGCGGGCCGAGGGTGTCTGTGGGACCGGCGCTCCCGAGAGGGAGCCACAAGCCCACTGTTGAGTCGCCCCCCGGGGGCGTGTGCAGACGAGGCCGGCTGACTGGAGGCGGAATGCCGGTGTTCGCCCTCCGCGGGGGGCGGGTTGTCTTGCCGGCGGAGCTCGCCCGAGGCTGCCGCTTGCCGGCGGTCTCATGGACGCGTGCAGAGATCGAGCAGGGCTCGCCATGCCCGGAGAGGGGCCCGAAATCATGATACAACCACCAAGAGCCACCCTGGCTACAGGGGTGCGCAGTGTGTGCGAGGCACCCATTCTCATCAAACCGCATCGCGGGGCAGGGTGGGCGCATCGTCCCCGGGCGCCCGCCGTCGGGCGCGCCGGGCCGCGCCGTGCCGAGGGCGATGGGGCAGGGCCGCGGGAGGAGGCCCGGACCAGGGTGCCTGTCCCTCGGCCGGGGCGGGAGGCCGGTGGAGTGGCCTCGGTCTCATTTTCTTTGGTGTGGCCCGGCCAAGCCGGGGGTGCTTTTCTCGGGCCGGGGCGGGGCTCGGTCCGGCAGGGGCCGACCCGTCACCGCCTGATCTCCCACCTCGCCGGCTGTCTCCCCCCGCCGCCCATTTCGCCGACCTACTCACCTCTACTCCATTCACCGGGTGCCGCAACACCGTGTGCCCCCCCCCC